ATATATATCTTTATATATACAGATATATATGTATAAATTAACTTTACTGCAGGTGTAAGATTGTGAAGTTTGTGAAAATGCTTTTTTTTTTTTACACACACTCTATCCAGACTACCAGTTCCTGGTACTGTAACATAATTCACCCTCCAGGATGACATGTAAAATGAAGCTGTTGGTTTTTCTGCTTATTGTGGTGGTCCTTGGAGTTCTCAAGTTTGACTTCAGAAGTTCCCCGTTAACAAGCCAAAGCTCGTTCCCCTGTTTTGCTAAAGATAATCTGCTGTTTATGCGTCGCGTTGAGCCATTCTTGTCTGCACGCACCAACCTATCAGAGGAGGCCTTTACGTGGTGGAAAGTAAGCTTTCATGTATATTTTAACAAGTATCTTTTGTAATAACAGATTTGGTGATAGTATCAGTTTGTTTCCTGGAAATTAGCATGTCTAACCGCGTCTGTGTTTCTGTTTGACAGCACATTCAACTTGAAAAGCGTGACCTCAGTTACTTTAAAGCAACCCTAAAAAGGCTTTTTGAAATCTTCCCATCCATTCCCAAATTTGGAGAACGCAGATCAGAGAGAATAAGAATGTGTGCTGTGGTGGGAAATTCCATGAATTTAAAAGGTTCGGGGTATGGACGTCTCATAGACTCCCATGAAATCATTATAAGGCAAGTGTTTTTGTTTGCTTCATCATCAAGAAGATAAATATGCATTCACGAAAAACCTTCTCGCCTGCTGCTTAGAATGAACTTTGCTCCAGTGAAAGGTTATGAAGAAGACGTTGGGATCAAAACAACACATCGTGTCATGTATCCAGAGAGCGCCGTGGATTTAGATAATACGACGCATCTTGTGCTGTTTCCATTCAAGATAAATGATATTGAGTGGCTCATTAAGGCCTTTACAACAGGATTCTATGGAAGGTGAGATATATTTTAAAAGGTCATTGCTGTCTCTTTTTTATTTACATGCTAATGTACTCCCTACAATACATATTAAGATTGAATTGTCATGTTTGTTTTAAGGTTTCTAACCCACATGCAGAACACACGGACTCTGGGAAAAAGTTCAACAGTTTATTGTTTGACATAATGAGAATAAAGCACTGATTCTGGGGGTTATCAGGTCCAGGACTGGTCACGACTGGTTTCTCTGCAGGGGGGGACAGAATGGTTAGCAGATGTCCAGGTATTTTTGCTGGTAGAATGAGTGTAGGTCTGTACCTGTTTTGAGGTTTGAGCAGAGCGGCAGAGGGGGGGAACCAGGAGGGTCCAGAGGCTGTCGGCAGGCAGAGGGCAAGGCAGAGGCAGAGCTTGGTTTGTGATCTTGCAGATTCGGATCTGAGTTTCTCTTTCAGTTTCTTCTGAAAGCGGGCAGGCAGGTATCTGACAGATTTGACTTCCAGAGTTCTTCAGAGATCAGACAGGCTGGTTTCAGACTGAGAAACTCTTCCAGAATTTCAGGGTACAGTCAGGTTCTTCCTGGGAAGCAGAGAGGACAAAAACAGGTCAGGTTCAGGTTATCAGGGAGTCAGAGATTCAGACAGGCTGATTGGCTAAGGCTTGCTAACCATAACTGGCAAACACCACTTCTAACACCACTCTGGCGCCGGAGTGTTGCTCTGCCTCTCCTTAAATGCTGGTCTCCTGATGAGCAAACGAGCCGCAGGTGTGAAGTCAGCTCCAGCTCCAGGAGACCTAGAACTGTAGGAGAAAGGTGGAAAGACCTCCAGATCCCAACATAAATAATCTTTAACAGTTTTCAATATTTAGAGTTAATGCAACCATTTAACAATAAAGACATTATTGTCTTTCAGATGATGTTCTTACAATAACTTACACAAGTTAAATCTAATGTTTATCCTTTGCAAACTTAGCGATTTTTCTTTTTACAGTTAAAACCACAGGCTTTCATGTAAAGCAGTGCAACATTTTGAAGTGAAGGGAAAACAAGACATAGCTTTCTGGCAAATAATGATATTCAACATTCATAGAGATGCACAATTTTATACTGAATCATAATCAGATATTGGTGATTTGATATCATATATCAGAGATCCAATCCAATGGACTTAAAATTCAACTGTTTTTATCCACTTGTTATTTGTTAATAAACAATAAAAAGTACATTTAAATCTGTTAACTTGCTTATAGCAAGGCTAAAGCCTTCACTCAATTAGCAAGATATATAGTTCCTTCAACAGCTGAATCAGATGAGTAAAGGCAGATACACTCAGTCTAAGTATCTCTAACTGATTGGATCTGAAAAAACAAGATCACTGCATTTCTAACACCTCAATTGTTGCCTTAAAATTTGTAAATATAGTTCACTTTATGTAGTATAATCTCTACATAAATCCAGCTATTCTGTGCAGTACTCTGAGGTGTTTTATAGAACACTAGTGAGCAAACCAAGGACCAAGGAACATGGTGGACACATTGGGGGCGCAACAAGAAGGCAATGAAAACTCATGTTTGCCACTTACAGTTATGGTTCTCCACTTTCAGACCTCTATTTGAGTTTCTTTTGAGTTTTCAGCTATTTGTGTCATTCTGTTTTGTTGATCTTTGGTTTATTTTTCACTCTGTGTTATATTAAAGCTGTGTTGTATTTTTTGAGTTACTCTCTGTTGCCCCTTGTGCCTGTCTCCTTTCCCCAAGCTCCCTTCTAGTTACTTCTATCCACACCTGCTTCATATCAGATCATTGTTGCATTCTTTGTTCTTTTCACCATAGATATACCACCTCTGCAGTTCCTCATTGCTGGTTTCTTATCTCACTTGGCTCCCCATGTCTGTTTCCCCTAATGTCTCCTGGTATTTTTTATTTTCCTATGTTTTGGTGCTTGGATTTTGTTTCTGTTGCCTTTTTTATTAACTCAGAAAAACTCATCTCTGCCTCCTCATTTCTGGATTTGGGTCCTCAACTAACTTCCACCAAAACTGCCACTTGCTAAGGAGAAGATGAATGCTCCAGTTAAATAAGACCAAATTTGAGCTTTTGGCTTATATGTTAAAACATTATGTTTAAAGCGACAAACAACTAGTGCATTTCCAGGATAAAGAGCAGTTTAAGTAACATCATGCAATCGGGATTCAACTTTTGATACGGACTTAGTAGCTGATGGGAAGATGGATGGAAGAAAATGAAATATGCAGTGGAGGTTCACCATTCAGCAGAAAGACTCTGACACTACAGCCACAGCCACAACAAAGACGTCTAGAATAAGCCTAGTCATTTCTTGAAGCGGACCACTAAAATTCAACATCCGAATCGGGCGGAAGTTTAAAATTGGTATTAAAACGCTTTTTATATTCTGATTTAGCTGGATATATTTTTCAAAGAACAATAGATAAAATAGTTTCTACACGCTGGAAGCTTGTGATGACATCCCCAGAAAATACAAAAATATTCACTGCAACAAAAAGGGCATTTGCAAACCTTACACTGTCTTTATTTGATCAGCTGGAAGTAAGAGTGATGAAGAAGTCATCATGCAGAATATGACATTTTGCTAACAAATAATACTAATACCTATATGGAAAAGCTAGATTAGCTACATGGTATGGCCGGAAAACAAAACAGATCATATTCTGTTTGAGCATGTAGGATGATATCAGATTATCTAATCTGTTGGCTTCTATAGAAGAATATATTTTCATTAGTAAAGGCCAATATTAATAGATTTCAAACCTAAGAGATACAACAGAACAATACTTGTAAAGTATTTGCTTCTGTTTTTGTTCATCATTCTATGGTTTTAACTTAAAATAATGTTTTTGAAAGCTACATTATTCAGCCAATAATGCAAATAACAGAATTTTAAAAATCTATTTAGATTTTTCTTTTCCTTCAACATCTCCTAATGATTCCCAGTATTCATTTGCTGCATTAACACCACAATATCTATACAAACTTAAAATATAAAGTTATTTATGACAACCCTATAATGCAATTATGCAGTTCTAATAGAAACTTAACATTTTTCTGATTCTGGAGTGAGGCTGATATTGTATTGAGTGTGAAATAATTTTTCATACTGTGTTAATAAAATTTAAAACTGCTTTTTCCTTTAATTTTACAGATCATATGCACCGATAAAACCAAAAATAAAAGGCAACAAAAATTTGGTGAGTAATCTATCGTTGAATGAATGAATGAATGAAACATTTTGATTTGCAATAACTAGTGAAAACTACATTTTCATAACAGGTGATGGTGGTCAATCCAGCTTTTATGAAGTACTCTCATGAGGTTTGGCTGGGGAGTATAGGGAACTACCCTTCCACTGGTTTTATGACTTTTGTTCTGAGCCTTCATGTTTGCGATGAGGTAAGTTAGTCTTTCTCCCAAAGTGACCATAAGGTTCTCAATTCTAAAGTTATAGCATTGTACAGTCTTGCACGAGACCAAGACCTTTCCTATTTAAGCATCTGACAAAGAAAAGTAACCTGGTAGACTTTCCAGATTATAAGTGGTGTTTTACATATACTATACATCTGAAATTGTCTTTATATACACGTTAAATCAATTTAGAAGAATATTATGAATACAGCTCATGCGTACCCTTGTTTTTCCTTGCGAAGGCCTGCACTAGAATTTGACTCAATATTTCTTTTGATTGTTGGAATTTCCCCTTTAAATGCAAAAGAGACAGGATTAGTTGTCACTACCTGATCCGTCGCGGAAGCACAATCCATCCTCCACACACCTGAACAGATATACATCCAGGTGTCCATAAATAATGTAATTATGATACAATAATTTCTTATTTCTATCATTAGCTCTCTAAAGAATGTCAACGCACATCTATGAAACATTTTGTATGACTTTTAAGAGACAATTTTTATGCTTTTTACATTTTCTTCGTTAAACAGCTTGTCTGACATCATTGGACATGCTCAGAGCAGTCTGGCAAAATATGATTAAACCATGTTTATCTACATTTTAGTTGTTTCTTTCTTTAGATTACGCACTGTATACCATAATGTTAACAGGAAAGGAAAATGTAAAACTCAAAAAGACTAGAATGATGTTTAAAACCAAAGCCGAAAAAGTTAGCTCCCGGAAGTAGCGTAGGATCTCATTTCCATTGCGAATCTGGCAGAGATGAGTGAAAAACCAGAATTTATTTTCACAGAAAATACATGATTAACCTTTAACACATTATATTTTAGTATGCTTAGTAGTTTTGTGGAGGGGAAATTGTCATTTAGATCTTTTTAACAAAATAAAATCGAGGGCGACCCAGATGTATATCTGGATGCACATGCACAAATGAGCAGATGGAGCATGTGCAGAACAGATCGTGCTTCCAGGACAGATCGGGTAGTGACAGTGGTGATAGGTGGGCTAACCCTAGCATGTTTCTATGAATGACAGAAATCAAAGAGGAGGACCAAAATTGTGCACTGTGGCAACTGCGCCATTCTTGCCTTTTCTAGTTTAAAAAGGAGTGTCTGAAAAGTTTTAACTCCGGCTTAACACTGACAGACAACAAAAGATGCATTTAAAATAATTTGAATAAGGCTAGTAGGGTTTTAAAAATCCAATGCTGATGCAGTTAATTTTATTTTGAAAATGTTGAAAAATATTCTGGGGCTCAGAGGCACAATGCTGGAAGGTGCAGGAAAATCTGAGACTGATGGTAAAGAAGTAACCAGGCTTAATTTCACTGGTCACCAGACCCTCAGGATATCAGAATCAAGTTTATTGCCAAGTAGGTTTGCACTTACAAGGAATTTGACTTGCTGTTGATTTTGCAGACAAATTAGATATGTATACAGAATGATCTATAGTTATATAAAATATAAAACATACAATATAATATATACAATATATACAGTAAAATTTCCCCACTTTCGTTGATGGGCCCTTGGCCTTTTTAAACATGAATCTTTGTACTAAAATATGCTTCAGTCATGATTTATGAACATTAAAATCTAAAGAGAAGCATCATCTCCTGATCAGACCCTGTAATTCAGTGAAAGGGTGGAGTCAGAGAGAAAAAATATGCACGCCCATGAGAAGGAGTGGGTCACTCCAGTGGCTGGAAGTTGGAGAGGATTTTGCTGGGAGTTGCAGGGAAGTGGGTTGCCGTTTGACCGGGAAGGTCCATTTTGAATGACTGCTGCTGTAGTATATAGCTATGTACTATATACACAGTAGGCTGTGCGTTAATGTAACGCAAGCGGTCTGGAGATTCTACATTAGTATAGCTTCTGGGTCATGAATGGGGGAGGGACAGAGGCAGTGTCAGTGTAACGTAGGTCTCTGGGCCATGTTGATAAGGCTGGTAGCGGATGGGAAGAAACTGTTTTTGTGGTGTGAGTTGTTGGTCCTGATGGACTGCAGTGACTGAAATAGTTTGTTGCTGGGGTGCGAGGGATCAGCAACAATCTTCCTTGCCCTTGTCCTTGACAACACAGTCTGCTGTAAACAGAGGAAGAAGAAGTGGCAGGAAATGCACACCCTTACTGTGGTGAAGTTGAAATGCTTTTAACTTTTCTGCGGTTATAGCCTGTCTGCTACAGCTGCACTCTTTTGGTTTCAGGGGCCAATGTAGCAACACGTGTAGTCTATTTAATGGCTTCCATTTGTGACTTTCTTTTTTTTCCATTTACTGGCTATGTTATTAGGCATGGCTTGTAGGTACCAGTAAGATAACCTTTTGGTTTTTGAGCTGCTTTAATCTTGCTATAATCTTGAGGCTATTTAAAAGATTCATAGAATGATACTATAGGGTATTTGGTGCTAGTCCTTAAGGCCTCTGAATAGGGTGTGTAACATGGTTGGGCTGAAAATGGCATAGTTGAGTCTAATGCAAGCCTGGTTAAAAGCCCTAGAATGAAAAAAACATTTTTTTTTTTCCTTTTATGGTATGATCATGAATGTTTAGATGAGCTGTGCGCTGATTGGTTGGTTTACAACAAGCGAAGCTCTTGAGCAAAGACGCATCATAGCAACAAGCACTCACTCACTGAAACATCAAATTGTTGATATGGTAGGGTGACCATATGTCCTCTTTTTCCCGGACTTGTCCTACTTTTCATACCTAAAAAAATGTCCCAGGGGAATTGCAAAATCGTCTGGGATTTTGGTCGACTACAGTGCAGCAGAACCGAGCTGTGAGCTCCAGGGCTGGGGGGTGCAGGGAGCCAGCAGGGGACGGAGTGACCAAACCCGACCCGGTGACGGTATCCTGGACACAGGCGGCCCCGTGCTTCCCCCCGCCTGCCTTACCGGCCCCCTCCTCCAACTGAGGACGGGCGGCTCAGCGGCCCAGCAGTTGACACTTCATACCTGCCCCCACCGGGGCATGACAAACGTACAGGCTAGAACCATTTAAGGCAACATCCCCGAGTTTACGTTAATTCAGGGCTTCTTTTGGATTCCCCCGTTTTATGGTGGAAGTTTAGAATTGTGAGATTTTTGTCGATTGGGTTTGAACTTCTCTATATGTCTATTTCACCCACTGACCAATCGTTATTCATCTATGACAATGGAAACTCGGTTTTGAATTCTAAGACCCCTTTTAGACTTTGTCTTTGTTTAGTAAAGTAAACAATCGAATGACCTGTGTAGATTCAGCCCCCACAGGCTTTGTTTTGAAGATCATCAAAACACAGAAAGCTGGAGTATTATTTTATTTTCGAATTTTTGTTTTATTTTTGACTTCTCCCATGACAATGAAGACTAAGAACCCTCATGTTCATCAACTCAGATGGTGCTCTGGCACTTATGAGGAGACCATGAAGATACCACAGCAGAACAGAACCATCAGTTAGGGTTGGATCAATATAAATAGAAGATTCACAATAAACTTGACACAACCTGGTAAATGAACTTAATTAAATTTTTCTTTATCAATCCCCAAAGAGAAATTCAGGTATAAAGTTTTTCATCAAATTCAAAAGCAAACCAGTGCTATTTGTATGGGCGTATTGAAACATAAAGCATTATGAAAGTGGAGCACAGGGAAAAAGGGCAGCGTCATCAGGATAATTCTGCAACATAATGGTGTGAGGTTTCAACATATATGGCGTGTGTGGAACAACAACTTCATATATAGCCTGGGGGTCTTATGCAAAACCAAAGATCAAAGAGGACTGGCGACACAGAGGCAAATGTGTGTGAGTTGGTATACAGCAGTAGCACTGTTCTTGTGCAGTGAAATGAGGAAGAAAAGGTTAAGCCAAAGGGGAAAAAACGAGCAAAGAAAGTTGACTGCCAGCTTTTATTAGATGACAGCAGTAGAGAAAGAGATCTACATCACTCAACTGTATGTCATTCATGGGACCAACAGCTCTTAAAAAATGATCTGAACTATCAGAGATGTGTGACGTACTTTGTAAATGATCAGGGGACATAAAAATCATACAATGGAGGAAAATGGTTGGAAATTAGATCTCCAAATCTGATAAATATATATGGCTGAAAATGTTAAATGTGGTTTAAAAATACACCTATGTTGGAAGTTTTATTAGTTTTTTTTTTTTTTTACAAATTTTCCCTGCAGAATGACTTTATCCAATAATATGTTTTTGGATCAATACACGCCAGACACTGTAGGCGAGATTGAGGTTCCTCCTAGTTTCAAAATGAGGACTTTGGAAGTTTTTAGCCATCATTTAAAACCTGCCTGACTCTTTGTAGTTTCACAACGTGCAGCAGGATATCAGCAATTTTATGTTAGGTAACTCGTCACTATAAATATTGCACATAAACAAGCAAATGCGTGCCTTACCCAGTAAGTTAACAGCATTATTTAAACTAAAGTGGTCCTATTAAATGAGCAGTTTTAAAAACAAACAAATTAGTGGGTTCATTAAATAAATAAATGTTGGCTTTATTCACAGATATTACAGATAACTCTAACCCAGTAAATTATTACTAAATTAGTAAGATTCTTAGTGTGAAAGGTTCCTGTTGGTGTTAATGAGCAAAGTGAGTTCTTAGCTTAATTCATCTCGATGCAAATTCATCATCAAAATCTCAGCTTTTTAATTATTAAATTGGAAAAAAGATGAAATCTTGAAGTTTAATTTATGAACACCTCAGATTGTTGGATGAAGCAACTGCAGCTGTCATAACCAGCACACATATGTCTCTATTCCTTTGATGAGGCAACCTTCTGGATGTGTGCTAAATACTTAAACTCTTCATCAAATACAAATCTTCAAAATGCCAGTGGAAGTAAACAAAACTTATACTTACTTATACTTAGTAAGTT